TTTTTAAGGCCTCTGAACGCCCCCCCCCCCCCGCCAGTCTAACCCTTCCTCCACCTTGTGCCTCTTGGGGTGTTTGCACACGCCCCACCACGGAGCGTAGCACTTTGTGGCTCTGGTCCCTGGGTTGTTGACCCCCCCCAAAAAAAAAACTTATTCTGTGGAACGTCTTTCAGTCATTCCAACAAAACGTCCATCTGTCATGGCACGTATAGCTGCTTCTCTAATGTGGTCCTCCTTTCCAGTCTAACTGCCCAGGCTCTTCTCCTTAATTCTGGTGATTCTCTCTCTGTTGGGAGAGATGGTGTCCTGCGTAAGATTCAGCCTCCGCCCAGGGGCTCCCTTAGCCCTGCCCCATACCTTCTGCAAGTGGTTCTCAAACAGGGGTCTCCAGATGTTTTTGCCGTTCCCAGAAGCCTTCTTACTCCTTGCTGTGGTGGCCGGGATTTCTGGGAGTCGCATCCCAAAAACATCTGGGGAGAACCCCAAGTTTGAGAACCCCTGGTCTAGCCGATGCAGGACCTCCTATGTCTTCATCTGTTCTTGCTTCTCTAAATCCACAGATCCGAGTCCCTGCCCTCATGGTTACTGCTGGAAAGGACAAGGTCCTCACTCCAGATATGAGCAAACGCATGGAGGAATGGGTGAGTAATGCCTGCCGACCATCTGGGAAACAGACCGCTACGCCTTGCCCACAGGGAAAGGAAGTCTGTGGGGCCAGGCTCTTTCTCTGAAATATAGTAGAACCCGTCCGTATCCACGGGATTGGAAGGCAGTGTCTCTTATCCATGTTCTGACAATATTAAAAATATTAAAAGGAAAAGAACACTAAAAACAGAAAATCACAAATAAAGAATGCAGTCCAATTCTTTAAAATACACATTTGCCCAAATCAATGTTGAAAAGCCCCATGCCAGTTAATCTCTCCTTCGCGCATGTCCCAAGCAGAATTCCATAATAGCAGCTCTCTTCTGTGGTGGCTCCTGAATCATGGGGGGGGGGCAAGGCTGGTCTCCCACCCCCTCGTGCTGCTGTGGGAGTCATGGGGGGGAGCTGGTCTCCCACCCCCTCGTGCTGCTGTGCCTTCTTCATGCAGAAGAGCGTTGAGTCTTCAGAGGATAGATTTCTGCATAGATTGGAGGCTCTCCCTGTAACCAAGAACATGCACACATGCATGCACACACGCATGCACGCACACATACATGCATACATGCATACATCTCATTATTTTCTGTGTCCTTTACAAGTTTGCTTTGGTACTTTCTGCTACAAGCAAACTGGCCCGATGGCTCAAGAAAAGCAAAAGCTGTTTCTCGGGATTTCTAAGAGGCTTGAGAGTGAAAGAGTACCACGGAATTAGCGCCACAATAAGAGAGGATGCCTCTCAGAATTTCCTACGTTGTCGGCACAGAATCTGGGACTTTGCTCCAGAGCTGTGTTCGGATGATGCCTGTCTCACGTTCTGGTGGGTGGGCACTTTTGGGTTTATTTGTTTGTTTGTTTTTTTGATTGATTGATTTATACCCCGCCCCTATGGGTTGGCAGGTAAAGGAACATTGAGGCATAATCCATTTGTTTATTTATTTTATTTTTCCCCTTCCTAGATTCCAGATCTGAGTCGTGGGCATATTGAGCACTGTGGACACTTCACACAGATGGACAGGTAACCGGGGTTAAGGGCTAGGCTCGTAGTATTACAAAGAAGAATTTATGAGAAACCCCTGGATCAAGGAGCAGTCAGCAATGACATATGAAAGGGAAATTATCCAAAGAGTTTTGACACATAGGCCAGTATCCAGTCCAACATTTATGCATAAGGAGATCCGGTTTTAGAAGCCGCTGCAGCCACCGAATAAGGTGCTGCTTTGCGCATGGACTGCATGCCCTGGTCACAGCCCCACATGACCCTCTCCAGCTGGAGTTCCTTGCCTATAAGATGGAACAGGATATGCGCACCAAATCTAGAAAGCTTGAGCACTTTGGTCCCATAATGAGAAAAGTGCCGTTTCTTACCGTTGATTGTGAGATGTAAAATGGATGGGAAAAGAAGGGTCGGAAGGGAAAAGGAAGCACCAGAGGGAGAATCTTTCAAGCTAGTCTGGAAGCAACACAACATTGTTGAAAGTTGGCTGCATCCAAAGTCAGGTTGGCTACAACGAAGTATTTCTGGTAGGAGAGGAAGAACAGGAATTATTATTATTTATTTTATTTATATCCCCAGAAGTTGGCTGCGTCCAAAGTCAGGTTGGCTACAACGAAGTGTTTCTGGTAGGAGAGGAAGAACAGGAAATTGTACAGGAGGACCAGTATCCACGGTTTATTTTATCTGTGGTCTGAAAATATTAAATGGGAAAAAAAACTAGAACTATGCTATTTTCACAATGTAGTTATTAGAACTGGCCACTAAGGGGAGCCAGAGACCATGCTATATAGTTGTTGTTGAAGGATACATATCATGGTCTCTGGCCCCCACTAGTGGCCAATGTTCTGGTAATAGTTGTGGGTTTTTCGGGCTCTTTGGCCATGTTCTGAAGGTGGTTCTTCCTAACGTTTCGCCAGTCTCTGTGGCCGGCATCTTCAGAGGACAGCAGACTGTGCCACAGAGACTGCCGAAACGTTAGGAAGAACCACCTTCAGAACACGGCCAAGAAGCCCGAAAAACCCACAACAACCATTAGATCCCGGCCGTGAAAACCTTCGCGAATACGTTCTGGTAATACATCATAAAAAAAAACTTACCTGGATTTTAAAAAATTGTTTTGCTGTGTATAGCAATCAATTTTATCTGTGGTTTCACCATCCACAGGGCAGCTTGGAACCAATTCGCCATGGATAGGGGAGGTTCTACGACAGTTATTTTTGTTAAAAAATGATCAGTTTCTTCTAAAAACAAAATCTTTTAAACCTTTTTTTTTAAACATACACCTGCCATTTGCTCTGAGAATGGAGTAACTGAAAATTCAAACGAGCCAGTAGTGAAGATTTGGTCATATGCGTTGCCCAAAGCTCTGCTAATTTTTTGTCTGTCCCTTCAAATGGGTAACTAGAGCAATTCAGACTCTTCTAGTTCCTGATTATCGACCTGACCACTGGACAAAGGTGCAGACTGGAACTTAAGACGTCTCCTGCCTTTTATACTCCTTGGTTAGATACTCTGATTGTCTCTCAGTTCTCCCCCCCCCCCAAAAAAAGACACACACAACCCTCTATCAGGATCAATTTGGGAATGAACGAGAGAAGGGATTTAGAAACCCCTTCCTTTCTTCAATAATATCTCTGCAGTGAAACAAAGAAATTATTAATTCAGACATCAGGTATGAAAAAACAAAGTCCTGAATGGCTAAAAAAATATTTGTTATGCCTTGCTAAAGTTACTGCTCAGCTCGAGAGAGTCCTCCGAGCACTCTTCCGTTCCCTTGAATATCAGCGTCCAAAGCAGTCTCATACCGGATCAGATCCTTGGCCCACTGAGCCTTAATGTTTGCAGCTCTCAGGGAGAGAGGGACACCCTTGCGTGGGCATGCAGGCTCAGGCAAGGAGATCCAGCAAATCCCTGTTTCTAGGACTACCGGTGCCCATGATTCCCCCCCCCCAAGCCAGCCTGCTCCTTGTGCATCCCTTCTGGCTTGGACCCTCTGAGCCCAACAGGGCTTGGGGTTTGGCCAGGCACGCTGAAATGCTCTCCAAAAAAGAAGCACCGTCAACCACATGGGGCCAGAGCAGTGCAGGGACATGCCAGGGTTGGGGGTGTCAGCAAACACGGGTTCGAAAACACGAGGGACATGCCAGGGGTGGGGGCGGTTGCCTACAATGGCCCGCTGGGGGATTCTGGGAAGGAAGGCACACCTAGGCTATGTGTCGGTCAAAAGAGATGATTTGTTCTCTCCAGAAAATCAATGGCCTCCCCCTGCTTCCGCCCCTTTCCTGCCCAGTTGTTCATCTTGCTTTTCTTAAACTGCTGTCCTGCCCGAATGTCACAGCTGTAAAACAAAAGGGGAAAAAAAAATCAAGCGGCCACTTCCCATCTCAAGGAAGGCCATTCAGTGAACTAATGGGACTGCATTTCAGCCGTCTCTCCATGAAAAAAGAGGGCTGCGTTCTACTGGAGAATGAATAAATGGAGGAGGGGAGTGGCACCCCTTGTCACAGAGTAAGGAATGACACGTCTTCCCATCTCCTTTGTACGTGGAGGTGTAAAATCTTGTCGGCTCAACGACAGTGCCATCATGTTCTGCTGAATCTATGAACAGGAGTGATGGCGAGGGACGAAACAGGGAGGAGGAGGAGCTCCTGGCTTATACAGCCTGTGGGCTGGGGAAGCGCAGGGACCGAAAGGCTAGGGCCCCGACCCATGGCTTCTTGTCCTTCAGCGCAGGGCGTGAGACAAGCATGTGTGGCCTTTCCAAGGCTTTTGCCTGCTCTTCTTGCCCGGGTTTTGGAGTGCTTGCCCACCCTGTCGGCTGGGCTGCAGGTGGAGGCACAGAAGCGTCAAGCTTGGCTGCGGGAAGGGAAGCCGCCTCTGCCCGTGTGCCCACCTGTCAGCTGGGCAATGGTGGCAGGCCCAGGGAGAGATGCCACCAGGGCAGGATGTGGGTGGGCAGCAGAGGAGCAGGAAAAGGGAGGTCCCCTCCCAGGGACAAAACCAGAATAAGGAACCACAGACCATCACAAACCACTGGTTTTCGGGTTCCTGCCCATCTCTAACCATGAACCGTTGAAGAGATAGGCAAGTGAGAGCCGTCAAGGGCCAAGAGGAAGCAGAGGAATAATCACAATGTTTTCCTGCTTGCCAGTGAGGCTGAATGGAAGCTGTTCATGTAAACCAAGGAACCTTAGGTGACCCGGTGCGTGTGTGCCTGTGTGCTGCTGTATCTTTGGCTGATGCCCCTTTCAGGTCAGGGAACCGGGATCTCTAAGGAGGCAAGAGCATCCTTGAGCCACTCTGGAAAATCTTGAGTCTCTCGACCTGGATTGCAGGGGAAGCCAGGGCGTGTGGAGGGCCTGTTTGGGTTGGCACCCACAGAGCCCATCCAAACTTGACTCAGAGGTTTGACCGGTGGAGATTCTGTGTTGAAATGGGCAGCCGGCCGAGTTCAGAGAGCCCACGGTCAGCCCTGTGGAACTCACTGAAGAAAGGGCGCTCAGGACGAGTCACAGAAGGTGGACTTCCATGGTCCTGAGTCCGCTTCCGTGCCCGTTGGGTTCCTCCGAGCTGTGGGTCCCAGGCTTGACCTTTGGGGGCCCACCTCGAAAGTCCCAGCTGGCCCAACAAGGCGCTTCTCTTGCAGGCCGGCGGCTCTGAACAAGATCCTGATCGAGTGGCTGGAGAAGGTCCACAAGAATGGCTCACGGCAAACCGCCGCCAAGCTCTAAGGAGGACTTCGAGGCTTTTCCCGGTTGGGTCGCCAGCGGCTGGTTTCGAGGTGGACAAGAATTGAGTCTGGGGTCCTCTTAACCCTTTGGCGAATGGGAGGCATCAACTTATTGGCAACACGGAAAGGTCTGATGAATTAGAAGGGGGTCGGTTGTTAGCAAAAGAATTGGACTAAAAAAATCATGTTTTAATTGTCCAAAGGGAGAATTCTGAACACCTGCACACACAGGATAAGGCTTTGCTCCCCTTTGTTCTTAACAAGTGAAAGAAGAAAAGCAAAGGGTGCTGCTTCTATACTGCCCCATAGCGCTTAAAGCACTCCCTGGGCAGTTTACGACCAGATAGGCAGGATATAAAGAGAATAAATACATAAATACATAAATAAAATTTACAAGTTGTGCAGGCTACAAATTGCCCCACCCCCACACCCAATGAGTTGGATATTCAATTTACTGATCTCAGAAGGACAGAAGGTTGAGTGAACCTTTATGCCGGTTACCTGGGATTGAACCCTGGGTTGTGAGCAGAGTCTTGGCTGCAGGACTGCAGTTTAACCACTGCGCCACGAAAAAATAATTTTAAAAGAGATCAAGAACACTCATAGCAGCTCCAGTGCTTGGTTCCTGCTCTGACACCCCATGGTTTATTTTAAGGGTGGTCAGAGCTTAGCTGGAGGCTCTCTACTACTTACAAAGTACTCACCAAGTTCAAAATGTTGTTGTTGTTTTTAAAGAGCGATGCTTAGGAAGAGCTTTTCTGCTTCCGGGCCTTGATGGGTGCCCTGCAACATTCCCCCGTCGTTTGGTGCTGTTTTTTTAATTGTTTTAATTGGCTGATGTTGGCCATCTCCTCCTCCTGAATTTAGAAGAGGCCTTCTAGTCTAGCCCTGCTTTTTCTCTACTGTGTTTTCCTGAACATAAGACAGGGTCTTATATTAATTTTTGCTCCAATAAAAACACATTGGGGCTTATTTTCAGGGTTTTTTTTGTAATGTACAACATCTGCTTTTATTCAAATGCAGTCCTGTCATCATCTTACAACAATCTTATTTTTTAATGTACAACAATCTACTTTTATTCAAAGGCAGTCCTGTCCTCTTCTTCTGGTTGCTGCACAAGGGTGGAGGGCAGGGTTTCACTGAACTGGGGCTTATTTTTGGGGTAGGGCTTCTATGATGAGCATCCTGAAAAATCTTACCAGGGCTGATTTTCAGGTGAGTTCTTATTTTCGGGGAAACGGTACGATGCCAGGGCCACCGCTTAGCATCCTGATTCTATACCCCTGTAGATTAGAGGTCTGGACCATGAGGTCTCGGGGCCAAACCTTGCCCTCTGGGGGGGCTCCCCCCACCCCACCCTCTGAGGTTCTGTATCCGGCACCCACACCCTCACTCTCCCACGCAGCCATCATTCCACAGTGCCCTGGCACTTTTTTGGGGGGGTGGGGGTTCCCAGTGATAAAAGACATTAAAAGGTGCCCTTCCTTCAGGGCTCTGTTTCACGGCCACAAGAGCTTGCCGCTCAGATCCGGCATTTGTCTTGGCCCCCTCCTTTTGCCCTGCGTCTCTCCAGAATGTGGCCCCGAGAACCTCTTTTAGCTTGAAAAAGGTCCCCCAAAACTTTGCAATAAAAAGAGGACCCAATCCATTGTTTCCTTGTTCTGCTGTTCTGCGGAAACGGCGGATTACCCCGGGAAGGCTCGGCTGGCGCCGGATGCCCACGCAGGAGGGAGGGCGCTCAGGCCTTTGGCTAGCGGTTCTTTACTGTCAACGGCCGCCTCCGTGGCCCTTCCTGTGCTCAGTATCGACTAGCTAAGGAGGTTAAGTCCTTTGGGGAGCCCAGGGAAGTAGGCAGACTTCAGTGCAAAAGCAGTTGTGGTTGCTTAGAGAACCCAAATGGAGAAATGCAAACTCTTTTAACTTAACGCTTTATGAGTATTTAGGGAGATTGCATCCTTCTTCAGCTTCCTCAGAATCCTAGTTTTAATTTAAAAAATAAAAAGCTACCGACTCTCTGGGCGGCTTGCAATTTAATTTTGCAGGTTCCGCTTTGCGTCTCCCCCCCCCCTGAGCTGGGTGCTCATTTTACCAACCTCCGAAGGAGGGTCAACCTGGATCAGCCTTGAGCAAACCGAATCCATCCGGAACAAACACAGGCTGTGAGCAGAGCCTTGACTGCAGGACTGCAGTTTAACCGATGCGCGACAACACTCTTATTATCAAGTCTCTAGTCCTTAAAGTTTTGAAAATACACTTCCCCACATGTGAATGAACTGCGGGCCGGCTCAAAACATCCAAGGCCGAACAGACAGATTTCCAAGGAACGAGAGTCAGATTTTCACGCCTTGTAGTTTTGCTTCTTCTTTATCACTGTCAAAATTGGAGTGGAGGGGGGGGATCATGCAAAATAAGAGACGAACAAAGCCTTGATGTAGTCTTTAGATTCTGAATTTGTGTTTCTAATGTTAACGTGCAACCCTGACTAATTGTGGACCCCAAGGGAAAGAAGTCTGAGGTGTCTTCCTTTTAAACTGCAAAAATTGTGCCTTCCTACTGGGGGGAAACCCTCCCTCTCTTCTCTGCTGCTAAGATGCCCGTAGTACTAACAGGTGCTTGGAAGAAAAATCACCAGATGTTTAGCTACGCTGCTGCTACTCCTGCTTTTACTTGCAGAAAATCAGTACCCAATAAATGTTTATTAAGAAAACGCTTCAGGATTTCATGTATATAAAGAGGAATTTTTTTAAATTTAGCAATAAAAACTCACAATGATTAGCTAGAATGTGCCAAAATAGAAGATAAATAGAAGATTTAAAAAAAACATGATTGTGATGCTTAAAGATAGATAGAACAGGCAAGATGTGTAATATAATGAAAGATAAATTGAAGGTTTTTAAGGAATTTTATCAGAAATTATATAAAGGAAACAATGTACTGAAAGAGGATATAGAAAATTATATAAATGAGAATTTAAAAACTAAATCATTGGAATGTGATAAAAGAATATTAAGAAGAGATTATTCTAAATTGAAACTATCAGGGTTTGGGAGAATTGCTATGATCAAAATTAAAATATTACCAAAAATTAGTTTTTTATTCAGGATGCTCCCAATACAGTTAGAAGAGGAAGATTTTAAGTATTGGCAGGGACTAATTAATGGATTTTGTAGTCAAGGTAAAAAATCAAGAATAAATAAAAGATATTGGTATAAGGCTCAAAAAATGGAGGTTTAGGTATTCCTAATATAAAAATTATTATATAGCTAATCAACTAAGATTTATTGGAGATATTATATATAACAAAGGAAGTTTAATTTGCTTGGATATGGAATCCTCAGAAATAAATGGGAATATTGAAAAATATTTGTTTAATGTAGTAAAAAGGAATACAATAAATCAGGTGAACAACCCTTTTTAAGACACATGTTAAATATCTCGAAGAGAAATAAAAAGAAGTTGTCACTTCACCAGTAAAATTAGTGACCGAAATAGAAAATTTCCCAACAAACTTGAAGGGTTTACCTGATTTGTTTAAGAACAAAAAAGTTGCCAGATTGAAGGATTGGATGATTAAAATGAGTTTGAAGGATCAGATTATAGTCAAACTTCTAACTAATAAACTATCATGGTATAATTATATCCAATTAGAT